AAGCCGGTGATCGGTACTGTATGGGACCACTGGTTTGATTCATTGTATGTGATTGTTTGGTTTCTAAATGACGAACCAGGTGGGGACAGGTTTACAAGGCCTCTTCCAAACAGCAGGGTTGGCCACCCTTACCAGGATTGAGTGGTCAGGAAGCGCAGAACACTGCTTGCGAGTCACTCACCCCTTGTGGTGCCCTGTCTTGCACCCTGAGCAAAAGTTTCGATACCTTTCGAATCTCTTTAGTTTAGGCTATATACAGTAACTATATACACAATGATTGACTTGAGATGACTTGAGCACCTTCCAACTATTGACGTGATCGAGTTTGTGGCATATCAACCAGTGACAATGTTTCTCGGGGACAAGCAGTGTACGTGCTTCTTTCGATTTTTCTTATCAGCTGATTGTCTACCTATCACTGGGGATGCTTTTGCGTCTGTCAATCTGAAAGTTTGCAAAGGACACATGGGGTGTGGAGGTCAAAGGAGGATATATATTCTTCTCATTCTCATCCTTTGGTCCTCTTGTATCCTGTGCAGGGCCGAACCAGGCGCTGGGTCGGGGAGACAAAAGAGATGCGCTCGGATGTCTTTAGGTTTGAGAGGTTTCAACATGCTTGGGAGCTCAGATCATCTATAGTAAGCCTTCAGCATATTCGATCCAACTGCCATTGGCTTTCACCCCCCCCGAAGCGATATTTCCTCCAATCCACGAATTCCACGAAGCATGACCCGGATTCCCTGCCAGGCCGGCTGCCTGCCAGTGGGACACTCAACAAACGACAGACGACAGCGGAAGATGGATCGCTGTTTTCCCCAGGCTCATGCCCATCTCAGGTTGTTCATTGTTGGGTCTGAGGGGATGTGCCTGATCCGCGTGATCCACGACTGCAGCGATCGCCCCAGATCGTTTGCTTAAATGGCAGGCTGTTGGAGCCACAACACGATCAACGAGCAGGGTTGTAGTTGGCTTCCGATTTAGTGGCTACCAAAAAGCATTTGCCAGCATACTACTGTAGAAAGGGGGATAGCGCATTTTCCCACTGTAGAAAGGGTATACTGAGAATCACAGCGCCAGAACGAAGAATCACAGCTCCGAGTTCAGGATGCTGGAGCATATTTGACTAGACGAGTATCCAACAAGACGACGTACGAAGACAAGACGACATGTAACAGGAAACATCATAAGTTTCGACTCAGGCCACCGCAGCAGCCGCCACCAGGGGCACAGGCACCGGCACCACAGGCTCATGGGGCGTCCAGTTTTGACACAGAACGGTCAGTTCAATACTTGAGGACATTGTAACATTGTACATGCCGGTCATAAAGAAACAAGGACTAAGGTTCTGCCCCCAGAGAACCTTTGAGGGGGGGTGCTCAACTGCCGATCGAATGGCCAAATGGGACTTTGGCGTAATTCAGGCGGCTAGCTAGGCATTGGTTGACTGCCGATCGGCTAGGCATAGGGGGCGGCCAGGCAACATTGGTAATTGCGAGGCGACATTAAATGTTTACTCTAAATTCATATTTACCTGTTCAACAACGATCAGCTCAGCAAAAAACCATCCCAAGAACTGTGCAAACCCGACCCTGGCCCTGATTGGTGCGAACGGACGGTACGTCCTGGTACTGAATTTACACTATTTTATACTCACACAGCCTCACTTGTGTTCAGAGGCCCTAGTTGTGAGGTTTGGGTTGGCCTTTTCCAAGTGTGGTTTGGTGGAGGGGTCTCACCTGCCACAGCTGCCTTCTCCAGATCAGCATTCCTCCACTGCCACCGGGCCTTTCAGCAGAGGCGTTTGCTGACCGATATCAAAGTGTTTGTGTGCGTGCATATCCAAGAAGCCCTTCTAATGCACGGGCAAGGCCCGCTTGCTGTCAGACCCGCAAACAACGTGGCTTTGGGTATCCGGGATCCACCTTTGCTCCACTCTGGGCCTAATATGTTTTGGACGTGATGAGCTTCCAGAGGTGGTGATCCGCATTCATGCGGGCACCTCCTGAATCGGATGACAAGAGGTCGGCCTCCACCAGCCCTGATAGATCTCACCTTCCAGTTTTGTATATTTATTATCATTTATCCTTACCCCCAGCCAAATCATGAAAAACAACAACAGCTCCTGATCAGTGTGTCCAATTGATCATGCCGCCGCCCGTGTACTTTGATCGAGTGGACTATCCAGGATCAGTTGAAGTACCAGCGGATCTTTGGCTCCACACCACAGGCTGAACACGCCATCAGAAACGCTGAAAACACACCAGCAGACATGCTATCGCTGTGACTCGGATGTTTGGGTCCGCTTCACCAAAAAACATCGCGATCGCGTCGCTTGCATTGGATCTTCATTTATATGCGCTCCTTGGATTGGGGCACATGGCTTCACTTTTTGGGAGAAAGGAGAGGTTTTCCAGAAACAAGACTAAACGTGGCGACAGGTTAGTCTTGTCATCTTTTCTCTCCACATTTAGAGAGCACCTCTTTGTTTTTTTTTTGGCCCGCGCTTTCAGTGTTGGAACTCTGGAGCCCTGTGAGGCGGCCCAGGCCTTGAAGGAGAAGTTTGGCTTGACCGGGATCCTCGAGGCAAGTCAGTGCAGTCTTTTCTGCGGTTGGACTGAGGCGAACTAAAGTGCTAGACATAAGGCGAACTAGAGTGAGGATGAGTGATGCAGTTCCTCACAAAGAGCGTGAAAAAATGCCGCTCCCGTGCTCAGCCGTGCTCAGGTGGTTCGGATGCACGACCCGCACCTGAACACGTTGGCACTGGGGATGGATCTAACAGGCACAAAACTCAGAGCGTTTGGGCGGAGAGGAGACAACCAGCCGATGCACAAATCTGGCTGAACTCAAGTTGACGCAGATAATCTAGAGAACTATCCAAAAGATGACCCAACAGGCTCAAACGTTTGACAGCTGTGGACGCCGAATCTGCCTCTGCCAGCCTTGGGGAACATGAGCTTCCCGGATGCCTTCCACTACAACGCAGGGTCAGCCAGCCCGGTGGCAGCGGACGCGAGATGCTTCAGTTGGGGCAGATCAGATTGGTCTTCCTGGGATAAGATCGTAGTAGTGTTGCCTTGTTTGTGTTTTCGAATAGTTTGGTTCTTTGACTCCATCTTTTGCGCCTTTAATTGACAGTAAAAAGGCTTGAAGCTGGAATACTGGGGTCTTGGATCAGGGCTTCTGAGACTAGCCAGCCTTAGCGTGTTATCTACAAAGGTCACACATTTGCAGTTTCTGCCAGGACAGAGCTGCCTCCCTCTCGTCGAGAACCCGACTACACTTTGCCACAGAGCTCCTTGGGACAAAGACAGCTTGCCATGGCGTCCCTTCGGGGTTTGCCCATGGTTTGTCTGGATTCTTAATTTCAATCACCTTTGGGGTGGCCTCCCTGCCAATCTTTGACGGGTGATATTGGGTTGAAGCTCAAATGTGGTCAACCTCAGCCCCGCAAAACTACCAAGGGCGGCCAAATCACTTTAGCGGTGGGTACACGATTCTGAAAATGATATGCAGCATGACATGCCCTAGAGTAGCGTGATATTGAGCCAAAGCCACACCCGTCTTCAATCCCGCATTGCAACCTTCAAGCGTTCATGTACATTGTGAGGTGATACAATGTCCTCGACCAACTTAGGCTATTACTCGAGTCCTCCGCACATGAAGCAAGTGGCTTTGGCTTGGTTTTCCTGCTCCGTCGGATGAAGTTGGCCCATGATGTTGGCATGCACACATTGTCAGAGCCAAATTGACCGGTTGACTCATGGCTGTTGATCAAATTGAATGGTCTCGATGTCCTCTGGCTGAAGCCGTGTCAGGTTCATCTGGAAAAGTATGGACCCGAGACTCTCTTCTACATGTTCTACAACATGCCAAAGGAGAGCACCCAGGCTGTGGTTGCTTTGGGATAGCTGAAGCTGCCTTGTTGGGAAATAAAGGAAAAGATATGAAACAATGAAGGGAAGGCCCCTTTGCTTCTCAACATAGTCAACAGTACTCTACTACACTCAAGTCATGGACTCTATGGGGCGACTGTATGAGTCAGAAACATGCTCGATTCACGCGGTGGGTGTGTCTTTGCATGCGGCTTGCGTGGCCAATATGTGTATAGTCTTTAGATTGCACCGTTTGTTTGTGCAACTATATCACTGACTCATTGCTCTGAGTTCATAGCCTTCCTGTTCCAAATAGAAGAATAGGACCACACTTATCCCTCCTTCATCACTCAATTCCTTTGGACTTAATAATTATGATTCAATTCAGCAAGCTCAAGCTCCGCATTCGGCACGCCCATTCTCAATCCGTACGATGGCTCCGTCTTGATACGGACCATTCCTATTGAAGTTAGACCCAAACAGGAGCGAGCACTTGCCACGCCATGCCATGCCGATTCTTGCGAGGCCATCGCGGCCCAAGAGCTGTGCGCCGGGAATGTGCAAGGACGTGTGTCTATAGATGTCTATAGATAGATGATAGATATATCTATATATCTATATGGTACACCCCCCTAAAACCTACCTTTTAGACAATTTCACGGTTGGGGATGATAATCTATCAGTTAATTGAAAGGGGAGTACCATATATATATATAAATGTACTTGTGTCATGTCTTATTGCATGATAACTGTTGAGATGCTGACTGCGCGTCATTGGTTCAGGAAAGTACGCGTACAAATGCAGTTGTACGCGTACAATGGTCAAACCAAGAAACCAAGAACCAAGATTGCACAGACCTATGAAAGTGAATCTTGGTTTCGGGTGTGTCCTTTGAGACCCAGGAGGTCATCCACATTGGCTACATCAAACCAAGATTCCTGACAAGACCTGTGTGCAATCTTGGTTCTTGGTTTCTTGGTTTGAGCAATGTACTCGTACAAGCGCGTTTTGTACGTGCACTGGTAAAGGAAAAAACTTTCCAAACATGATATTTGTTTGTTTACTTACCCTAGTCTGCATCTCAACAAATCAAATACAGAACGTCGCTCACCCTGCGTCCTGACATGGCATCTTCCTCGGGCAGCTTCCCAGTGCATGGCACCGTCTCTGTCAAAGACGGCAAGGCCACCCTCACATTGGGTCCGAGTCAGGCCGCGGACGTGAAAGTGACAATGACGCGGCCAAGCTCAGCAAGTCTCCTGGAGCGCTTCGAAGGTGGTGTTCTGAACGTCCACGCTTCCAGGCTACCACTTACGAAAACCAGCCTTACCAACATGATGGGCGCTATCCAACGTCAACTTCTGCTTCAACCTGGGGCAAGCGGAGTGTGGAACCAAGAGTGCCTAGATCGTCTCGAAGCACTCCTGAGCAAGCCGCACGGCAAGGCTAAGGTACTAGCCATCGAGGACTAAAAGGAAAGTGCATTCCAAAAAGCCCCTTCTGATGGGGATACCTATCAAAAACATATTTCCCATCCAAAAAAATCCTATCAAACAAATGAATTCCTATCAAAAGAGAAACTAGTTCGTATCACAAAGTATTATCCTGATCTCCTTCGTCCTTTGGTCCCTTGGTCCTCTGGTCCCCTGGCTTTCTGGTCCTTTGGTCCTCTGGTCCTTTGGTCCTCTGGTCCTTTGGTCCTCTGGTCCTTTGGTCCTCTGGTCCTTCGGTCCTCTGGTCCCTTGCTCCTCTCATCCCTTGATCCTCTCGTCCCCTGGTCCTCTGTCCCCTCCCGTGGTCCTCTGGTCCCTTGCTGTTTGAGGCTGCTTGCCCAACAGAATGTCAGTGTGTATGTCAGAAGGCGCACCAGGTGGCGTCGCAATCTAGATGCCATCAGAAGCAAGAAAGTGGTGTCACAATCTAGATGCCACCTCAATCCACCAGAGGCAATCAGAAGCAAGAAAGTACGGCCAGCGCCTGTGAGGACTAAAGAAACATATATCGCACATAAACTATACAACCCTTACCTCGCATAAAGCATATATGCATATATATATATATGTCGAAACATTGAAAGCCGACTCCTATCGGCACGAAAGGGCGTCTTTTCCTAGGCTTCAGCCGAGAGTCCCTGATATGTCAGCCGAACGATCGATCCACCTGTCCTCTGAGATGGATGGCGTTCACGTGTGATTTTCACACTGACTATAAATCTTTCAAGACTTAAATTTTCGAACGTGCTCTGTTCCGGGAATCATCGGACCTTGCTGCTCTCCATTGGCCAGCTCATGGCACTGCACATATTCACAAAAATCTTTGAGCAAGCCGCCAGCTGTCTTGGTGCGTGACTTGCACCAGCGAACGTATCCGACCTTCTTGGAGTCGGTGCTGGAAATGAGATCATGATACGAAACACTCTGGTTGGCAAATTGGCCAAAACTCACAAGTGTGCGGCCCCATTCGGCCAAGCTTGAAACACCATCAGGAAAATTAGATTCAAAAGCAGCATGGTCAATTTCATAATCAACTGGGAACGGAATGGTGCGGCCTTTTGGCGCAGTCCAAGGTCCTCCCTCATAGCCAGGGATGTCACCTTCCCACATGATGGTGTAGCCAGCTGGGGCATCATCAGTGGAAGCGGAAGCGTCTGCTGCCTTGCTGGTAGGTTTGCCCTTGAAAATGCGCTTGACATTCTTGGAGCCAGCCTCTGTGGCTTCACGACGCTTGGCGGCATCCGTCATGGCACCTGCACTCTGGACCACGCTGAAATCGCTCTCTGACCCTGGTGGGCTTCCGCTGGGACGACCGGCGGACAAGGTGTCCTGGAGTGTTTCCATAGCCACACCTTCAGCCTGAGCCTTCTGCAAGAGGCTCATAAGCTGTTGCTGCTCCTCCAAAGACATGGGCATGGTCAGAAACAGCAAATGAAAGTACGAAAAGATGAACAAGCACAAACCAGTCTTGAGCACACAAAACCTCTGCACATATCAAATTCTATTTCGTGAAACTGGCTTCGGCTTCAGTGATATTGACAGACACTCACAAAGATGCAAGACATCACATAACACATCGAATCTCTCAAAGTGATTCTATATTATGTATCTTATCTTGACTACCCCGATTATCACACTGAGCTTTAACCATTGAGACTCATGTTCGGCACTGTGGGTTCGTGTCGATTTTGCCGACGGCGGTCTCGTTCTGCTGCTTGCTGGGCAAGGACAAAGCTCTCGGGCGAGATCTGGTATGTTGACGACCGGATACAGGAACGCAGCAAATCGATGGGGTCTTGTTGATCTTTAGTTAGTCCGTCAGCTAGCATGCGATTGGTGGGAAGCCATCGTATGATGCCCTGAGTCAAACGAAGAGATTCTCTGATAATCACTATATCAATGCTAGTACGACGGTCATCTACAGCCGTTGGTGCTGAAGGGGACACTAGGTGATCATAAAGAGATTTGCAGTCCGTGGCCAATATGGGAGGTCGTCTGGCCAACATATCTCGTCCGTCACGTGGCGCGAAGGCTCCATCAAGGGCTTCGCACAACAGCAAGCTCACCCATTCCACTGAACCACTGGCACTAGCCATAGCTTGGCTTTCGGCGCCAAGTGTTGAACTCACAGCTCGAGACAGACGGTAACTCTTCCACAAAAAAGGGGTCCAAGGAGCAACAGCTGATTCATTCAGGCTTTTGTCAGTGAATCCCAAAATGTAACCAGCTTGGGTGTGGTCCCCTCGGTTTGCCCATGCTGCGTCCGAATGTCCGCAAATGCGTAAGTTCTCCGGCGGAATGCATTGAAAAGTGATTTCCAGATCCTTGTGCTGACGAGCTCGTCTAATGGCGTTGTTGGCATCTCTGAGATTACGGATGGTGGGTCTTGGAAAAGACTGTTGGGAGATGCTAGTCTGTACCGCCAGGTCAGGGCGGCTTTGCGAGGCTAACCAGTTTAGTCCTCCATTGATCGCTCGCAGCACTTTGATTTGTCCTTCGTGCAGCAACGTGTCGTTGGACGCACCTTTTGGAATCGTGGCTGGTCGGAGGGACTCAGCAAACAGCTTTTGTGACAACTTGATAGACTTGGTCTTGGGGTTTTGAGTATAGTAAGTGCCACAAAACTCGCCTTCACCTACACGCCATTTCCGATAGGGAAAACGATCTTTCAGCTGTTTGACACTTTCCTCGAACAACCGTCCTGAACCTCCTACTGCCGTGTCATCTACATGTACCCCCATGACCCCACTCAGTTGGTTTTCCGCGTTTCGTAGGAAGTACAAACAAGGGTCGAAGATGGATTGTTTCCAACCTGCAGCACATGCTTCCTGATGGAAGGTTCTGAACCAGCTTGACGGTGCATCGTTCTGTCCATAAACATTACCTACAACTTCAATCACTGCATCCGGTGGAACTCCTGGGATTCCTCCAGCAGGCTGAGTGGCATATAATGGCCTGAACTTACTATCTAAGGGGCCTGCCTCCATGAATGCACCTTTGATGTCGCCCAATTGCAAATCCCACTGATGAGAACAGATCAGTTGCATCAACAAGGTCCGAGAGATCTGACTCAGTGTGGGGGATTTCAGGAGACCTTCTTGTGCTTTAGCATCGAGATCAGGATCAAGGTGCCCTTGTAAACACCATCTACTCTTGATGCGAAAAGTACTGGGGTCGGACGGGTCTATCGACTGATTCTCTTCCAGTGGTTTTCGGACGATGACAAACCGGCTACCTATGAAACGATCTGGAAAGTCCTCTTTCAGTCGAGCGGCTTTCTTACCATAGTGTATGTAAACAGCTCGTTTATCCAGGATCGTGTTCCACTCTGCCAACTTGGATTCATCGACCAGTTTCTGTAACTGAGAGTCCGCGTTGGTGTGCGGAATTTCCTTGCTGAGTTTCTTCTGTATGTAGGCTGCAACCAAGACTTCAATGGGTTGTTCTTCGGTCCAACACGCAAAAATCTCACGCTCCTCATCAGCTAGAAGGATCTCATCATCGTTTCCCTCAGTTGTACGAGGTCGAGAGAGAGGTGGTTCATCAACGGGTCCTTCCATGAGATCAACTGACCTTTTCAGATTCTCGGTGTTCCTCACCTCAGTCTCTTGGTTCAGTGTGTCGACCAACATTCATGGAACCATCTCTCTCATCATTTCCACAAAATCATCCTCACGCATAGCGGGAGGTCTGTAGAGTGCCGCTTGACCTGCTTTCTGTGTCACGCGTCGTCGGACTGGTCCGTACGACGATGGTTCGGTCTTGGCTTCGAAAAATGTGGAAACTCATCCTGATTCTGGTCGGAAGGTGCTGTGTTTGCTTGTGTCACATGCTCATTGGTGGTGGTTGTCTCGGTTGTACTGGGTGGGACAACCTCCATTGGAGTGTCCAATGTCGGACTGGGTTCCTCGGCATCTGGAGCCGGTGGAACGCTTACGGTCGCTGGAACAGTTGCTGGAGACTCGGGCTGCACTGATGGATAGTGGCCTGGTACCAAATCAACATATTGATGACTCTTGAATGTACCACCTTCCAACAGATCTTTTATACCCAGTAGTTCAGCTTGAGGACTTTGCAACAATGTTTTTTCTTCGGTTGTCGCACTTCTCAACTGTTCCGGAGCTACCCTGAAAATCTGTTTGCGGTGTGCTATGACATAGTTGCGACCTATTTTTCCCATCACAACAGCTGTGCCAAACCAATGACCACCCTGAAGAACATGTCCCTTTTGAGACTGGGTTCCTCCTTGATACTTCTGTTCTCTCCAATAGGCTACCAAGTCTCCAGCTTGAAATTCGGGCATCACGCGAGGCCTGGCGGCCAGTGCTCTTCTCAAAGACTGATCACTCTGCAAATCAATCACGGCCTTGCGGGCTGTGGCTCGGATTTCTTGAGCCTTTTGGATTGCAAAGTCAGTGAGGCCCAAAGTCGCGGGAACCACTCTGAGCGGTTCATCGAGGAGCTCGGTCGGGACCTCTGGATTCTTGCCGAAGACAAATTGATGTGGAGTGAACCCGTGATTCTGAATCATTGTATTCTTCACATGAGCTTGTGTCACCAGTTGTTCCCAGTCTTCCTTGTTCTCGGGTGTGTGTTCTTGTACCAGCTTGGCGAGGACATGTGCGAACCACCCACCGTGACGTTCAGTTCTCCCCAATTGCCAGTGTGCTTCTGCTGCTATGGGTTTGCACTGTATACCCAGTTGGTCCAGGTACTTCTGCATAGGTTCTCCTAGATTGGTTCGCGCGGGGTCCATCACCAACACTTGAGGGGGTCCGAACACTTTCACCCATTGCTTTGAAAACAGGCGCTGAAGAACTTGGGAGGTCTCTTGCTCGTGGAATGGAAGCATGAGTTGGTAATTACTGGCATGATCCACTACATTTAGGGCTTTGATTGTCTGGTTGGGTTTCCAGCCCTTCAAGTTCTTGACATCGATACCGACCACCTGGTTGAACGATTGCGGACGATCGACCTGA